AATTCATTTCTAGTCTAAAACACAGAATGAAGAGTTTAATGGCACATTTGTTCCATGAAATCTTGACCATACTTTTGACTCTCACATGAATTAATACAAGCTGGTTTTTGGAAAGACACTGGTAAGCACAGATCATTTTCAAGTATGTCCTTCAGCGACTGCCCTCCTCTACAGCTGCCTTTCTCCTCCCCCTATCTCTTCTGTTAACTACTTGTCTAAGTAATAGTTTATGTATTTAGTCAATTCATTTACACAATCAATTATAAAAAATAGTGATGTTGATTAAATAAAGTGTTCCAAACTGGTTAGAAGGCAAATTCAACTAATAGACATATTTGCTTTGATTCACTGGATTCAAAAAATCTAGAAATATCACAAAAAAAATTTAGATTTCTAGGTTTCTCTTGATAAATCAGAAGAGCTTTCAGCACTGGACCTGAATTTTATGTGACTAGAGCTGGAGTAAAATATAAGAATGCCCCCTTTGGGTATATCCCACTTCTGTATTGCTTACAGCCAGCCAAGTTCACTCATGCAATACCTAGTTGGCCCCTATAGGCTTGTGAATATGTGATCCTTGGATGATATTGACATGGGTGACAGTGGTAGTGGTGGTATGCAGATGCGTTTATGCAACAAACATTCAACCAAGATGGCTTAACAAATAGTCTCAGCCCATTATTACTTATGTTATTCACTTCTCCCACAGTATTTGATGGGCTATCAAATACTAAAACATTCTTTTAGAGATAAACAAAATGGATTCTTAATTATAAATATCATGAAAAGAGAACTTCCTGTATCCACAAAGTTGCATGCTAATCCCATGAGACCTTTATCCCTACTTTGTTCTCTTTCTTCTTGAGTTTTTTCTTTCCCAAATGTATCACAGAGAAGTAATAATCTATTTTTTTAAAGAAGATTTATTTTGGATTAAGTGATTTCATGGTGCAACATGGTTTTAAACAAAAATAGAGATCAGTATGAAAATAAAACAAATTGTACACATTAAAATATCTTTCCCTCAAAGCATTTTGGAATCATAAAAAAATACAACACAAAAGTCAGGGGTTCATGTGAGGATAAGAATACAAACTTTCCAGAAAACCAACATCTAGTCTACATTTCAGAGTCTCAGGCTCCATTTAATACCACCCACAAATCATTTCTAGGATGTCAACAATCTGCATTATTTGCACTGGAAAAAAATAGACGAAATTTAAATATAAGGTGAAATGAGAACTGTATGGTCTTAAGGTCAACACTAAATACCTCCCATTATTTCTCTGTTAAAAGTCACACTGGATGAATATGAAGCTTAAATCAACTCAACAAAAATAGAAACATAGCTCTTGACTGTGACACATGGAATAATGGACACATGGCTGGAGTTGGTGAAAAGAAATGGAAAGGCTTAAAAAAATACATCACCTGTCCTCTACTGAAATCTTAGAAATAAATATGGTATTTTTTTTACAGAGCCTTAATATTAAAAAGTAAGCATTATAAAATTAGATTAATACTTTCAGTAAGAGGCAAGAGAGAAGCAAGTATTTCCATTTTGGAATGCCTGCATCCCTATTATAAAAACATGTAATCTTATGCACTTTCTAATATATTAACAGCTTCAGATTTTACTTACGATATCATATAAAGAAAAATAGGTTGTAATAACAGCTTTTAGAGCATTAAGGTCCTAAAAGAACATTCAGTTCTGTGTGTTTCCTGGTTAGTCCTTCCCAGGTATTTCTTGAATATTATCCATCCTCTTTCACAGAAGGTGTAGTAACCGGAAATTTATTGATGGTTCCTTACCTGCATCAGTAATAGCTAACTCAGGCTGAATCCCACAAGAGACCTATCGACACTCCTCAGGGAGGTAATATCCTAAGAGAAAGTTAGATGGAAAGATACCACCTGCCCAAGGCCACTAGATGCTAAGATCACGTATATAAATAGGATTACTCTGTTTTTTCCCAGAAACCCTAAAACTAGGGCCTCCAATGCTGCTGAACTGTGCCATCATGAAAGCCAAGTAAACTGCCTAGCAGAGTAAATCTGAGCCAATGTGTTTTCAGTCTTGATCAGCTTCCTGAAAAATTGGAAACACTGATCAGGTCTCCATTTGCAATTCGGCAACCCAATTCTTCAGTTTCTGCTTTCTGGATTAATAGGGAACATTTAAGTAACCACTAGAAACCACGAAAATGTCCCAAAAGCAATTCTCATGTCAGAGAATGTCTGCTGAGAAACAAATTAAGCATCATAAGTATGTCAGGCTACACCATTTTTTTTTTTTTACTTATATAGAAAGTTCAGTAATAGCCACAGTAATTCTGAAGTTAAACCAAATCCACAACATAATTTAATGCTAAATTGTCAAATTTTCCTGATTCATCTGTGGGTTAGCTTTAATACTTTCAAGTTCTGTTGTGCAATACCGAAGATGTTATCAGCCTACCGAAGTCACACAGCGAGGCTAATTTCCCACCAGGCAGATTATCAAGCAGTAGCCTCGCTAGGCGGTACGACGTTCTTTTCTTCTTTTCTTCCCGAAAGTCAGAAACCAAATTGAAGCCCAAAGGTGATCTTTCCAGCCCTTGTTTTTACTTTCCCTTTGCTAGGGTCCTGTCTTAACCATCCCTGCATTCCTCCTGGCCCAAAGTTCTGTGATTAGGGGCAGCACACACACGCGTTATATCCTTTGTCCCAGCTCTTTGGAAGGCAGCTACCACCCCAGAGTCTTGACAGTTGGCCAGGAATTAGCACTGTGTTCCGGCCGGGGTGGGGAACACAACTGCTGGGCTTCTCTTTTCTGCTTTTTGCTTGTCTCGCCCCTCTCGTGGGCAGCCGTTGGCCTTAAGCCACAGTTTAGAAAGCTTTAATGTCTCTGGTCTTCCTTTGCTTCCATGTTAGATAAACAGATCTACCACGTGCCTTGGGAATCTCTCCAGTACAGTTTAGTTGAAAAGACTTTCAGACTCTTTACTGTAAGATGTTTTCCTTAGTTAGAAGTGGTCAAGTCATGAATACAACTTGTGCAGAAACAAAGACAAAAATGGAGTGACTATGAAGAGGACAGAAAGGAAGAGAGAATCTGCATGGGTTCCTTCATCCACATCACTGGAACCTACCTCCCAGACCTTCTAGATCCATCCTCATTAAGAATTAAAAAATAAAATAAGGTTAGTGATTAAAGCGGGTTTTCTTCCCCATTATTTTGCTTCCAAATAATAATAAACCACACTCCTGTAAATCCACCAAGTGCCATAATTTTGCATTGTTTTAAATTTCTCATAACAAGTAGTAAAATGCAAGTATTAAGTCCATGAGGAGTTTTTTTCCCCACGAATATACTAGTACCTTCCAGGAGCTTTTCAGAAGGTGACACGTTTTAAAAATGTTTGAAAAAAATGAGAATTTGGGCAGATGCAACATCTTGGAAGATTCACTGAGTGGAATATGTTGTAGAAACACTAGTCTCCACATTGTTTGAAACGAAAACTAGAATTGTAACCATTAAGTGTTGCAACCGATCCATGAAAATCAGCCTCCACCCAGCTGGGATTGGTACCTCTTACCTCCCAGAAGCACGTGAGCAGCAACAGACGTAAGATGGCACACGGGAAAGCACTTTAAAACTCTAAAGCGATGTCCACACACGTTCTACCCTTACTGCTCATCATTTCGGATGCAGTTTCAGCACGTCTGATGGTTAATGCAGGTGAAACGATTTCCCTTCGATTATAGGATGTCCACTAAATTATACACCCAACGTACGCCACAAAATTGTGACCACACTTCTTTAGCCAAGATCCATTTGTTTTTGTGCACAAAATAAACGTCCTGACCCCCGAAGCGGGTTGGGCTCGAGGACTGGGATTTTTCCCCCTGAAAACCGAAGTTACATTGAAGTGCAGATGAGAGGAAACAGAGGGAAAATACTGGACTTAATTTTGCCATTTCTCGGATAATTCGAAGATCCTTAAACTGCTCCTTCATGGTTCAGCTCCCCGTCTGAGCACTTTAAACCCTAGTGTGTGAATGCGCCTGGGCCTTCCCACCTGACCAGCGTTGACACACCATCACATGCCATTAGTTACCAAGAGAAGGAGCATTTATGTGATTTTTATTTTTAGCCACAGTATCTCCCATGTGTGAAGGCTTCACGGGATTTCCCAGATGGAATAAGCCGTTCTCTCTTCATTCCTTAATTGTAGAACATACCAAATTTTATTAAAAATACATTTTTTTTAAAACTTGGTGTCTATTTCTCTAGACTGTGAGCTTCCCAAGGGCAGACTTTGAATCTTGTGGCTCCATCACCAAACACAGGGGCTGGTACAGAGTGAAGGACAACAGCGTGCCTCTTGCTTCATGTAAGAGACGTTCTGCGTACATACACGATGCATCGTGACTGTCTTTTATAGTAGAAGACCGTGTACTATAAGCATCACTCAAGAATTTTTTAAAGAAAATGAGACCACACAGCCAAGTCATCTAGTCTCAGAGTCTAGAAGAAAATATTTAGGGATATTTCTATTTGTAAGGGATATTCAAGTCTAATTTATTCTGTGGAAATGTTATTTAATGTTTTATAGTTACTATTGGACTTTTTTGTTTTACTAATTAATAATAGTAGGTCAGTTATCATGGTGTTCCGATATGCTAAGTACATCTTCCTTAATTCCCAATTCTGAGAACTAGAGCAGCAGTAGCTTTGGGAAGAAGTTAGATGCCTTAACAAGAAATATATCTGTTAGGATTAATTAAAGAGATGCATATTATTTCAAATCTCTTTTACCCAATAATGTGGAATATGGCAACAAAGTGTCACAAACCAAAATGGAAGCTAACATGGTCGATTTTTGAAAGAAATGTGTAACCTTTTACACTAGCTGCTTAGAGAATGCCAGCTCTGAACCATCAAGGATGTGTGTGTGTTTAAGTATGTTATAACTAAATTTCCTTTTAACAAAAAAAATACAAACAAGTAAAAATAGTTTGCAAAATTAAATATATACTTATATTCATGATCAGTAAGTACAAACTAACATCTCCAATTAAAACTTTTTTCTCTTCCCTTTTTCTCTGGTCCAGTTATAGTACACAGATAAATCCTCCTTTCTTATCTTTAGATTTTGGTAACCTTTTTTGGGGAACGTTTCCCCATGCTCAGGAATGTTGCATAGTTCAGGAATGCAACATGAGTGATATTCCTCTGGAGGGTCTCAGTAGTAAACATAGCTTACCCAACAATTAGTTCTTACAAACCACCTGTGAAAACCATGCATGTGACCCTATAAAATACAAGATGGTCAACATCCCATAATAGGAATCCCATGGCCACTTATAATTCTCAAAGAGGTGTTGGGACAACGCCTGTAAAACCACAGGCTGGCAAACCAAATGTTAATCCAATGCTTTTATTATCCATGATTTAACTTCACTCTATTGAAGAACTGATTCCGACTAGTTATGGCCATAAGTCAAGAAATAAACAATGATGTGGAGTAACCCCAAAAGCAATAAAAATGAAGAACATCCTCTAATAAAATTATGCAGAAATAACATTAGTGATATCATGCAGTTTCTGAGATACCATAGAAAAATTGTTTCTTAATATTGATAAGAAAATTATGCATCAGTGAAAATGCAGGCTTAGAAATATAGTACTGAGAGTTTCAATTTGTGATGTCTTCATCGATGAGGGAAAATGGAATTCTTATTACTAAAGAGAGCTGATCTCTTGGGTGTTGCTGATGGCTCCCTAAATGAGCTTCGTGTTTAATGAGGCTGTACAAATAAAAAGCAGTGGGGGAAATACGAAATATCTGTATTAAATGCCATCCTGTAAAGTATTTGATGGATGGAAGAAGTCTAATGCATTTTAAATAAATGCATATCATACTATCACATATAGTGAGTCTTAAAAAATTATTACTTAGATGCACAGTCCTTGTAGTGGTAGACATGGCACTGTGAGGAAGTCTGATTTAGAAGCAATTTTCTACTACATTTGTCATGTGATGGAGTTGCTGTTAGTCATATTGTAATGTCCCTTCAACTTTGGTACATTCAGTGCAAAATATTTCGGGGAATTTTTTTGTACCTTTATAAAAATAAAAGGCCCTTTTGTTCTCTTGAGAGTGCTTAAAAGGATACGTACTAGCATGATGCCCGAGTAAGCATGGAACATGGAAATGGAGCAGGTGATACACACAGTATGACAGGCAGGTTCTTATATACATCTTCAAGAACATAAATATAATGAACCTATGAAAAATAAAACAGAACTCACGTGTAGTTTTTCCTGATATGCTGTGATTAATTGCTAGTTATTTTTAAGTTGTTTTCATGCATTATAAAGCATAAAATCTGTCATTAGTTATTTGTTGTATAACAGTTTGTCTTCAGCCATAATTACACACATTTCACTTGGCATTTACATTGTCACAGACCACCTTATTGCAAATCTGTAAAGTTACCTCATGTTGACTGGGTTTCATTTTTGCTTGTGTCCCATGAAAGCTGAAACCTATGGTGCACACCATGCAGGCACTCAGAAGCAAGAAAATGAACATTCTGCTATAACTTAGGGCTTCAGTGAGTGTACTTTTAGGAAACATGTTGGTTTTTATTATATATTATTTAACTTGCACTAATTTGGACATTGGGCCAAGTGCTGCCAGTGTGGCTTGATCCATGTTCAGTGGTAAGTTTCAAGATTCTCCTGAGTCCCTAAAAGTGACCATGGAGCTGATCGTGTACAGGTTCGTCTTTGTCTTGGAACATAACACAAATGGAAAAAAGTTTGGCAGTCAACAACAGTTGACTGAAAGACTGTTGGGTTGTTCTCTGGGCATCAAGCTCACCCCAGTCCTTCCAAGAGGACTCATCACCACTATCCGGGCCCCAAATGGGACAGCGTGTGTGTTCCTGGACAATCAGATCATTCAGCTTTGCTCTAATGGAAGTGCACTCTTCAAACTTCCAAAGTTCAGCCATTCTTCAAGAGGGCAGCTTCTGAACTTGCCTGTCCGTACGGAGCCTGACATTGCTTTTCCAGGTCACTCAAGTCCAAAGGTGCTGGTCTCTTCCACTGCTGTCAAGAGTTTTTCATAAAGCATGGAGAAGGATGGGTACGGCGGGAGATCCAGACGGTTAAAACACGTGTGAGCTCTGCAACAGAAGTAGCATACATAGATGAGAACGCTCTGAGTGAGAGATCGTCATGTGTGTGTGCTGATGCTTGTCTTTCATATGCAGAATGGCTTATGGCCAATTTTCACACTTATTTTGGGAGGATCTGAAATTATTTTAATTTCTAAAGAGAAATAGGATATTTAAAAAATATTTTCTTTATGTTTTCACAACCATTTAAAATTCACATTATATACATATTACTATTTGTTTAGTTGTCGAAGAAGTGCAAAGACAAGTTTGGTTTTTTTGTATCTCTTTTGATGTCATTTTTTTTTTAAAGTTTTTATTTGAATTCCAGTTAGTTAACATACAGCGTAATGTTAGTTTCAGGTGTACTCATGTAGTGATTCAATACTTACATGGACATGAATATCAATTCTGGTAAAATAATCATTTTCAGAGTTTGCATTTGTCTGGATGTCTCAGAAAGTCTACAGTTTTACATTTTTTCATTTTGTTGGGCAGGGAAGAGCGCTGAGTGTCTCTGAGGACATGCCTCATGGCTTAGAGTCTCGGGGAAATTCCCCAGCTGGATTTTTCCTGTTGAGGTCAGTAGACCATTGTTACTTCTTTCAACCCTGTGCTATAATCCGTTTTCTCCTAACTCACAGTACAAAATAATGTCCATTTAAATCATTACATTAAGAATTCTTTTTTAGAAATACCTCCCCTTTGCCATGATAGGAAAAAAATATGCTTTCCTGTTATTTGCACCTGAATCACAATAAGAAATAGACAGTTTCCAAAATAGTACATCTTATCAGGAAACAAATCTGCACTTTTGACATGGAATAGGAAGCATTTTATTCTGAACATACCACAGCTTGTTTGTGAAAGCTAAACAATTTGGACACACACACACAAATGCTCCTGGATTAATATGGAATTTTAGGAGCTATGCTTATTGATGGGCTATTTTACAAAGTCACATGTTTACATTTTCATTCTTATAAAACACTCTAACACTTAGGAAGTAAATATAATTATATTCCAACATGCAGTATAGGGCAGTAAAAAGATCGGAAGTTTGGAGCTGGACAGACCCAGGTTTGAATTCTAGCTCTACCAACACGCTAAGTGATTTGGAGTTATTAAAACTCTCTGAGACTATTTTCTTACCTATAATATGAGAGTCATATCATTTGTCTCAGAAGGATACAAGGATTAAATCAAATAACAGAAGCATTTTTTTTTTAAGTGTGCTTAGTATAACACCTAGCTCACACTCTTTGACGAAGTTATTAGTGAGAGATGTATTTTTAGCTACATTTCATTACCATTAAAAAGATTTGCTCTAGGGGCGCCTGAGTGGCTCAGTCATTAAGCGTCTGCCTTCTGCTCTGGTCATGATCCCAGAATCCTGGGATCGAGTCCCACATCCGGCTCCCTGCTTGGCAGGAAGCCTGCTTCTCCTTCTCCCACTCCCCCTGCTTATCTCTTGCTATCTCTCTGTGTCAAATAAATAAAATCTTAAAAAAAAAAAAAAGATTTGCTCTAGAAGCCTTCATTAAATTGCCAAAAGATAATCATGACTCATGGAAATGATGAGATAACAAAGAGATGATAAAAGCAGGTGTGTGGCCGCATGCCTTATTAGGTCAGGAATGCAAAGGGGCTCAATTAATAAGAATTCAGTTTAAGGACACAGCATCAGCTCAGAGCATCTGACTCTTGTTACTACAAACACTTGTATATATATTGGGTGGAAGTCCTCTAATTACTCTTTGCAGCCAAACACATTTTTAATATAGTAAATTATTTCAGAATTGCATTTGATATAATTCTTGTTAATATATTTCTTATTAGGCCTTCCATACACTGGAACCTCAACTTGGAAGCCTCAAGGTAGAAGTTTAACCTTTTTAAAAAATTGAACTAGCATATGAGGAGACAGTCCCAGGAATGATTTAAAATCTATCTTTTGTATAGAATTTATAAAGGAAATATAGAATTATTAAATGAAGACTTTATCTCTGTTCTAGGGAAACAGGAAGAAGCAGAGAAGTAAAATATGTTTTTAATATAATTATATTCCAGACTTTGTGTGCTAGACACATAGTACTCATTATCCCATTAGATTAAAAGATGATATTCCTTTAAATGAAATTTAAAATGCTGCACTTCTTTGGACACCAACAAAGCGAGCATCTTTCTCTAGGACAGCTTGCAACATTTCCTGTTTTGTGACCTACTGTTCATCTCCTTGGCCTATTTATCTTTTTAAGTTTTTTTTTTTATTGTGATAAAACATACATCACATAAAATGGATCACTTTAGTCATTTTAAAATGCACAATTCTGTAGCAGTAAGTACACGGACAGTGTTTTGCAATCATCGCTACCACTCATCTCTGAAACTTCTAAATCTTTCCAGCCTGAAACTCTGTGCCCATTGAACACTAACTCCCATCCTCTCCCATCCCTGCAACCACAATTCTATTTACTAGGAATCTGACTATAGAAGGTACCTCAGGTATGTGGAATTATACAATATTTGTCCTCTGTAACTGGCTTATTTTACCTAGCATAATGTTTTCCAGGTCCATGTTATGACATGGGTCAGAATTTCCTCTTTTTAAGGTTGAACAATATTCCATTGTCGGGATATACTGCATTTTGTTAACCCATTCATCCATCAATGGACACTTGGGAGTGTTGCCATCTTTTGGCTATGATAAAAAATCTTGTTATGTACATTGGTGTACAAATATCCATTCAAGTCCCTGTTTTCAATTCTTTTAGGTGTATACCCAGGAGTGGAAATGCTAGATCATATAGCAATTCTACTGTAAATCTTTTAAGGACCTGCCATACCATTTTCCATAGTAGCTGTATCATTCTATATTCCCATCAGCAATGTACAAGGGTTCCAATTTGCCTACATCTTCATCAATATTGTTATTATCATTATTTTTATAATAGCCATCCTACGGGTGTGAAGTCCATTTGTCATTTAAAGCTTCGTGATTTCTTATTGATTTGTATAAATACTACAAAGTAAAGAGATGATCTCTTGCATTATCTCCTGCTAATCGCTTTCAGCCTGTTCACTTTTTTATTTAGTTATGCATTTTATTTACAGAGCAACACCTATATGAAACATTGTCATTATGTCTTTAGTGTGTTGATATGAGATGTGTTGGGAAAGTGATCACTATTGCTTCCACCTAGTTGGAGGTTTGTTGTCTATGCTTTTTGTGGTAGTGTTGGTGTATCAAAGAGTGTTATAGGTCGACTTAGGGGTAATTCTTCCTAAAAGAGTAACTTCACAGTTGTAATCTTGAATAAATATGACTGAACTCATTTTCATGAATTGAGTCATATTGGGTGAACTGGGAAATAAAAATAATTCAGGATGATCTGCTCTCTAGATAAGCCATAATCCCTAATTAATGTCTTAGTAGCTTAGGACAGGACATGACTGGAGATGCAATTTATCTATCACACTCTCGTTAAGCCTGTTCCTTCCCTCTTGACGACCAAATACCTTCCCTTAACTGAAGGATATTTTTAGCTAATTAAGAATTAACAAAATGGTCACATACATTGGAATGAGAATTCATTCAATGTTTCAAGTCCCCAATTAAGTTCTTGCACATACTTTGTTGTAGAATTTTAATTCATTCTGGTTTTGTGGTAGGCAGAATTCCAAGATGACCCATGCCTTTGTATAAGCCCCATCTCTCGAGTATGAGTGGGATGTGTAACTCACTTTTTTTTTTTTTTTAAGATTTTTAAAAAATTTATTTAAGGGGACGCCTGGGTGGCTCAGTGGGTTAAAGCCTCTGCCTTTGGCTCAGGTCATGATCCCAGGGACTTGGGATCGAGCCCCGCATCGGGCTCTCTACTCAGCAGGGAGCCTGCTTCCTCCTCTCTCTCTCTGCCTGCCTCTCTGCCTACTTGTGATCTGTCAAATAAATAAATAAAATCTTTAAAAAAATTTATTTAACAGAGAGATACACAGCAAGAGAAGGAACACAAGCAGGGGGAGTGGGAGAGGGAGAAACAGGCTTCCGGCTGAGCAGGGAGCCTGATGCAGGGCTTGATCCCAGCACCCTGGAATCATGATCTGAGCCGACTGTAGATGCCTAATGACGGAGCCACCCAGATGCCCCTGTAACTCACTTACAACCCATGGAGTAAGGCAAAGGTGAAGGTATATTTCAGATGTAACTAAAGCTAATCAGTTGATTTTAAGTGAAACAAAAGGGTGATTATCCTGAGTTGGCCTGACCTAATTAGGTAAGACCCTTAAAAAAGCATCCGGGAGGTCAAAGATTATCACTGTTGCTGGATTTGAAATAATGCCATGAGCTCTATAGCTACAATTCTGCCAACATCCTGAAAGAGTCTGGAAGCAGGTCCTTCGCCAGTTGAGCCTCCAGATGAGAATGTGGTCCAGCCGATACCTTGATTTCAGTCTTGTGAGATGCTCAACGAAAGACCCAGCTAAGCCACACATGGGCTCCTGATCCATAGAAACGTGATATAATTGTGTGTTTTAAGCTACTAAGTTTGTGGTAATTCATTAGGCAATAATAGAAAATCACTATAGGTCTCAAGAGAGTAGAATTAGTCCAAGAACAGTGTGATGAATGAAGGGCGACAGTAGAATCGCCCCATCAAGGTCAGGTAGTGGGATACAGCCGGGAGCAAACAGCCCAGGCTTCTGAGCAGAGAAACAGGAACTCTGGATGTTTCTCGGCAGTTTCTGTAGGATCTTATCCAGTAAACCCTTAAGCCCTAGTACTCTTTTCTCTAAAGACTCAGTTCTCAACACAAAGGGAAAGACTGGACAAATTTTTTGATCATCTTGAGTCATAAGACGTAATCACCATTACTGATCCATAATCAAAGATAATCACTGCTTCTTAAATTATATCTAGTTGCAAAACATATGGTCACTATAACTGAACTCTTCCTCTAATAAGCTGAACAGCTTCTCTAGAAAATGTTTCCTGAGGATGGAGGGGGAAA